TTGTATTTGCACATTCATGTGTTTGCACTTGGTTTGCCCATAAAAGAGACAAAATGTGCAGCATGTTTATTTTCAGTTTGCATCCAATATAAAGTAACGGAGTTTCAAAATGTTCTTGGTCTTTACCAATTTGTATTAAACTCAAAAAAGTGAATGACAGTAAATCCAGCTGGCTTTTTTAAAGTCTAAAATATAGCCTTTAGTTTTCAAACAGTCAGTGGTTCCTAGAATTTCTAAAAGTAGAATGGGAGGCAGATCTTTTAGTTATCAGGCTCCTCTCCTCTGAAGAGCTATCTCTATAGTTCTGCTGCTATAGGCTTAGACTGCTGGAGGACATAGGGACCCCTTTTTCATCATTCTATCTCTATTCTCCCACTCTGCAGAATCTGTTAGTTCGATCTCTAATGTAGATGATAGAGTTGAGCCTTATTCTGCTGGGGGTTTCCATCTATTGAAAGGGAGTTTTTTTTGTTTCTATCCACTGTCACTGCATGCATTCCCACAGTAAGGGATTGCAATGGAGTCAATGAGAAACTGCAAGAGAATATCTACGGTCGCCATGTTCACCCAGGAGGAGAGAATCCTGCAAAATCAATGACTGGATGCAATCAGCTGGTTTTCCTTAGATGGTCTGGTTGAAGTGTCTCTGTGAAGTGACCTGAGCTGACATGTGTTGGACAATGGTGCTATAAAAAAACAAACTGAATTAACCTGGGTTGATTGTTTCAGGGGGTGTCTATGCTGTTTATATTTCAAATGGTGAAATATCGGACTAAAACAAAAACCAGAGCAAATCTGTCTCACTAACAACAGGCCAGACCTTGACTACAGTACATTATGCCATTAAAACAAGCCCTTTTTATAACTTAAGTAAAGCAAGATTGCTTTAAATGTCAGAATAATAAGAAACAGAACTTCCCAACCACAGAAAGTCTGGTTCTTCAGTCACAGTAACGGCTCTCCTGAGTGACTACTAGCCTCCCACATTGGAGCATCATGGCGATTTTCCTTCAGGGGATTAGAAATAATAAGTGTCTGCGCTGCCGGCAGCAGCAGAACCGTTGAGTCATAAAAGTCCAGTAAATCTAGACACTCTAGGTCTGCCTGGATCTAAGGCAGCGCTTCTGGTTAATCTGATAACTGTCTGCCTGAAGCGTTGCTCTGTTCTCTGCTACGTTTCACCATTTAAATCACTTTAAATCCCAACATCTGACCACTGAAGCTACCTGTGGAACTCAGGAAAACTGCTGAAAACACTTGGATGCAAAAAAACAACAACAAAAATTTTTAAAAATCAGGAAAGGAAATCAGCCCAGATCCAATTAAATACATCAAAAAAAAAAAAGTTTTAATGACAGTTCCTGACTGAGAATTAGGAGCTAGCTCTGTTCAATCTGAAAATATGAAACATAGGAAGGAAGGAAGGAAGGAAGGAAGGAAGGAAGGAAGGAAGGAAGGAAGGAAGGAAGGAAGGAAGGAAGGAAGGAAGGAAGGAAGGAAGGAAGGAAGGAAGGAAGGAAGGAAGGAAGGAAGGAAAAAAAGAAGACAAAAAGAAATAATAAAAAAGGAGACATATGGAACCAGGAAGGAAAAGTGAAATAAGGAAGATGTTACTGTGGGATCTAAAAGGACACATAACTTCATGGAAAGAGTGAACCACTTTGTTCAGACCAGGAGAAATTGAGATTAAAAGAAAAACTTTTCCAGAATGCGAAGAAAACGTGAAATAATTGAAAAATTTTCCTCCAAAACTTGATTTTCTGGGCTCCGTCTCTTCCTGAGCTGCACAGCTAGAAACTGAAGTCTTGTCCGTCGTTCTTTGCATCTCAACCTCGTTAAGCTGGACTGAAGTGATTTTAGGCTTAATTAATTCCCAGTTAAGCTCCCGATCAGAATAAATCAACCCTTCATCATCCTTCCAAAAAATAACTCAAACAACGCTCTTCATCCTTACAGATATTGCTTTTAAAATATACCGTAAATATTTTTGCACAAAACAGTAATGCGACATTTTTTACGTCTTAGATTTTTGAACAAAAGGAAAATCTTCTTTTTCTCTTTTCCAAGGAGCGGAAACTGATTTTCTTTAATAAAAGTTTGGAATTTTATGAAAGAAAGACGAACAATTGAATGATTAAAACAAAATAACAGGTGTACCATTACAGTCTGTTAGAGACTCTTGTGAAAATATAAAAATAATAAATAAAAGCAACTTCTGTATTTATAAATGCTGCTATGATTCTGGAAAAGGAGCCACCAAAGAGTCACATTTCTCTGGACTTTGACTGGACCGTTCTAGAACATAAAGGTTTTATCCCGCTGGATTCTAGAACAAAGACTTTTTCACCCTAAATATTTCCGTCTCTGGCCCCAAAACTAACAACGCAACAAATTTTTACATATAAACAAACAGAATCTACACATAAACACATTTTTTAAGTGACATTTCATTCTTTAAATCATCATTTTAAATGGATTTGTGATCATTTATTGGAACATTTAATTATTCAAATGTTTGTTTCATATGTCAATGAGATACATATACATAAATAAATGTTAAATGTATTAATCGTATTTATTGATCCTCTGTTCACCCTGTGGTGTTACATCAAAATGATGGTGAAAATAATCCTCTTTAGGAGCCTCTGCTTTAACAGGTCCCCCCATCAACCACGACCCAGCTTTACTGAGGGTAACTCTCACAACAGCATGATGCTGCCACCACCATGTTTTAGAATGAGCGTCTGATCTGAGCAGAGAAACCTCTCCCTCTGAATCTCTCCTTTCTTATTGCACTGAACTAAATATATATTAATATGTGTTTATTTAGAGCTCTTGTCTACGGAAGACGATTAGGGCCACTGAATATAAAAAGGGTTAACTGATTTTTAAATTTTATTTCAGTATAGTGAGAAAAAAAGTCTGAATTCTGACATGTTAGCATCAAGCTGTATCCATGTCTGTTTTAGAGACGAGCTTTCATGTTCTAATCATCTTCTGATCTTCCATTAATCAAATAGCATCAGCAGGGACCCTCAGGGACAGAAAAAGTCTCCTAATTCCATCATTTTCCACCAATGTATTCCTGTTCCTCCCAAACTACTCCCATCTTTGCCTTCATGGTGCCCATCTACATTAACATCCACAATTCTCAGATTAAAGTCAGAATTCTGAGATTAAAGTTAGAATTGTGAGATTAAAGTCAGAATTGTGAGATTATAAAGTCAGAATTGTGAGATTATAAAGTCAGAATTGTGAGATTATAAAGTCAGAATTGTGAGATTATAAAGTCAGAATTGTGAGATTATAAAGTCAGAATTGTGAGATTATAAAGTCAGAATTGTGAGATTATAAAGTCAGAATTGTGAGATTATAAAGTCAGAATTGTGAGATTATAAAGTCAGAATTGTGAGATTATAAAGTCAGAATTGTGAGATTATAAAGTCAGAATTGTGAGATTATAAAGTCAGAATTGTGAGATTATAAAGTCAGAATTGTGAGATTATAAAGTCAGAATTGTGAGATTATAAAGTCAGAATTGTGAGATTATAAAGTTAGAATTGTGAGATTATAAAGTTAGAATTGTGAGATTAAAGTTAGAATTTGAGATTAAAGTCAGAATTTGAGATTAAAGTTAGAATTTGAGATTAAAGTCAGAATTTGAGATTAAAGTTAGAATTTGAGATTAAAGTCAGATTTCTGAGATTAAAGTCAGAATTTGAGATTAAAGTTAGATTTCTGAGATTAAAGTCAGATTTCTGAGATTAAAGTCAGAATTTGAGATTAAAGTCAGAATTCTGAGATTAAAGTCAGATTTCTGAGATTATAGTCAGAATTTGAGATTAAAGTTAGAATTTGAGATTAAAGTCAGATTTCTGAGATTAAAGTCAGATTTCTGAGATTAAAGTCAGATTTCTGAGATTAAAGTCAGATTTCTGAGATTAAAGTCAGATTTCTGAGATTAAAGTCCGATTTCTGAGATTAAAGTCAGAATTTGAGATTAAAGTCAGAATTTGAGATTAAAGTCAGAATTCTGAGATTAAAGTCCGATTTCTGAGATTAAAGTCAGAATTTGAGATTAAAGTCAGAATTTGAGATTAAAGTCAGATTTCTGAGATTAAAGTCAGATTTCTGAGATTAAAGTCCGATTTCTGAGATTAAAGTCAGAATTTGAGATTAAAGTCAGAATTTGAGATTAAAGTCAGAATTCTGAGATTAAAGTCAGAATTCTGACTTTAATCTCAGAATTCTGACTTTTTTCCCATATTAAACAGAAATAATACTTAAAAAACAGTTAACCTATTTGTTAGTTTTTCAGTGGCCCTTATCCTCTTGGGTCACAATCAGAGTCTCTTAAAATATATTTTGAATCACCTTAATTCAAATCCGGACAAGCAGAGGGGAACCCTCGATGTGCGCCTCTGCGCGCACAGCCTTCTTTCATTCAGCTCACAGACACGCTGCTGTGCCACCTCCACGCAGGGGCGTGGATTACACAAAAACCCGATGTTTAGCAGAGAAACTAAGCAGATCTCCTCATTGAAACAAAACAAACCAACAAAGTCAGAATTTAGAGGGTGGGGGGGTGAAGGTTTCCTTTGATGTGTGGCGCTTCTCTCATCACAGACACATGATCCTAAATGTTCCCTGGAGAGTTTCTGCTCAGGGATCAGCCTGCGCTCCTCCGATCAGAGCCGCTGTCCAAACCGCAGCGCCTCCCTCCTCCAAATCACATTTCATTCCTTCTTTTTAGAGGACAAAGCCCCCCCTCAATCAGCGCTTTGTCCCCCTGTCAGCGCACCCATGCCCATGTGCCACTGATGAGAGGAAGCACATCAGTCCCCACTGGAACAAAGCGCACAGAGACTGCGCTCCGGACGCCTGATCCACGATCCGGCAGCAGGGAGGTTGGAGCCTCTACGTGTCAGGGTGCCAACTGTCTGTCTGTCTGTCTGCTGCAAACACATGGAAGTGGCAGAAAGAAAAGGAAAAGCTCCTACCTGGTTGGAACATACTTTGGAAATAGAAGATGACCAGAATAAAGGATCCCAAACAAGTGGCAAAAAGCATCCGGCATATCCTGCTCATCCTCATCAGCTCGCCCAGACTCTGCTTCATCAGGACGGACAGGCTGCAGGCTGCGGCTCGCTGCGTGGAGGGAGGGAGGGGGGGGACCAGAGGGAAGATCCGGGGTCTCTGCGTGGTTCTGAGGATGAGGAGGATGATCCGCCGGTCAGTGGAGCCAAACGCATCCAGCGCGGAGCGTACCACAGCTGAGCTGCTGCGGGGTGGCTCCTCCCCCCCCCCCCCCATCAGACACAATGAGCTCTTCCACGTGTCCGCCAAACTTACCTAAACACGTGCTTTAATAAAGTCAATTTACCGCGGTCACCCAGCCAGCATCGCACGCGCTTCACGCGAACAACAAGAGTTACGGTAGAAACGCCTGAGACTACCTTTCAAAATAAAAGCATCAATGTTCATATATTAGTGATGCTGGGATGAAGCCTCGTTGAACCTTTTGGTCAAATTGCTTCATTGATCCCCCCACAGTTCATGAAGCTTCAGGTGAACATGACGCCACCTACTGGTGGAGTGCACAACTACAGTTAGTAATAAAATCCGGGCTTTTTTGCAAATTTTTTTTTTCTATTCAAGTTCCTTTGCAATTGTTCATGATTGGTGAGTATAATAAAATATTTTCTTATTGAAGGTACATTATTTTTTTTCTGCCATTTTAATGAAATAAGCTCAAGCAGGCAGTAAAAGTGTTTGTGCAAATTGGGCAAAGATGATTAAAATCAAAGGTGTTTGTCATTTTATTCAAACATTAGGTTTTCAATGGTTTTTGGTTTTAATCGGGTTGGAAGTTGCGTGTTCAACCAATCTTTTGGATAAACGAGCCAATCTAATGTGGCAGTGTTTTTACCTAATCTATATTTCTACTAGAGCAAAGCAATAGTCGCATTAGCCAAAATACTTAAGTAAAATTGCAACTTTCAAAAGTCTAATACAGGTCTTTAACCATCAACCTCAGGAGTGAAAGAATGTCTTACAGCTGACTCTACCAACACTGGTGGCTATTGGTGACAGATAGCAATAATACTTAACATTAAAATTACATCTGTGTCCGGCGGCTAGCTCAGATTTTGATAATTACATTGTTTGATCTAACTTAAACAGTTTTAACCAACTAGAGAGGTTTGTTTTTTCAACCAATCTACTCTTAGAATCTATCCAAACACTGTCCAACTCTCCAACAAACTCCCACATCTTGACTGAACACTGAGGCTGTTTAAATGCCCGTCAAAGTTCTTACGCTTCCTGAACCATTTCCCAAAGCGGTCACGAGGAATCACGGTAGCAAGGCAATCGTGATACCCCCTCCATTACTATATATATTTTATGTTCTGCTTTTGTTTTTTGTTCTCTGCCTGTAAATAATGATCATATATATATATATATATATATATATATACATACACACAGTACAGACCAAAAGTTTGGAAACACCTTCTCATTCAAAGAGTTTTATTTATTTATATTCTTTTTTTACTTGGCCTGATCTGGTTAGTCTGATTTATACTTTATAATGCAGTGCATTTGTCGTGCATAACATTAAATGGAAATAAAAAAAAATGTTCTAAGCTAGTTGTGTGAGAGATTTTAAAACTTAAAGGATTAGTGACTAGTGACTGAGCTGAGCTACTTGTGATAAATAGAAACAAATCACAGCTAAGTCTAAACATTTTATTCTGGCCGATTCCAGGGGGGAACGTAGGGCAGAGAAAACAGGTAGAAGTAGAAAGCAAAGCCTTTTTGTTTCATCCAACAGTGACATTAAATTCTCTGAAAGAGTTTTTCTAATCTGTTGATTGTGGTGAAATTTATGGGCCATATTTTTACATACTGACAACATTTTCCTAGGTTTGCAGTGTGGATAATTCAGGCCAGAGGAGCATGCTTACTAAAACATATTTTATAAATTAAGCTGTATTTATGCTCAAGTGTTCATCTATATCTAAGAGCAGGCCTCATTCATTTCCTACTGGCACCTGGCCTTGCATGTTAGCAGAGGTGGGTATGGTACCCAAAATGTATACCCAGGTGAGTCTTGGAAATTTGAGGCAGAAATACAGAAATGCCAAATATTGAGAACCGAAAATAAGATTCAGGGGAAACTCACGTGGGAAACCAGAGACAAGGGACACCAAAACAACAAACCAGCACTGAGTGACTGCAGAGGTGGATAATATAACCAAGGCAGGCTAATCAGCAGATTGGGAGCAGGTGTGGGCAGGACAACTAGAAGGAAGCCAAGGGGAAAGGAAAACAAGCACCAGGGGGCAGCAGAGAGTAACTACAGAACTCAGCACCAGTAGAAATAAACTACAAAGACACAGAAACTAAAAATAAACCCAAGCAGAGGGCAGAACCCTGAAAACATCAGATTTAATGTCTAAAATTCTGCATTCAGACAGAAAGTTAAGTACTGATTAATGAAAAAAACGGACTACTAAGAAAAAAATAAAATAAAATAAATGAAAAAATAAAAAAAAAAACTAATTAAAAAATGTCAATAAAAAATTAAGAAAAAAAGTTATGTACTGATTAATGGAAAAACGGACTACTAAGAAATAAATAAAAAAGAAAATAAATGAAAAAAAAATTTCAATAAAAAAAATTAAGAAAAATCAAAAAAAGTTATGTACTGAAATAAAAAAAAAACTAACAAGATTGAAAAGTAACAAAAGTTTTTCCAAAATCTGATTTTATATTTTTATTTTTTAGCATAATTGTATAAAAACTAACCCGTAGAGTAGGTAATGTATGTATCAGAAAATATAACGGTATTTGTGCTGATTGGAGAAACCGGTAATTTTTAAAATAGAAGTCATAAAAAATAAAGTATGAAACATAGCAGCACAAAGATATAGCTTAAATAGGTGTAAAAAGTAGGTTAAAATACATTTTTGCTAATAAAAGTACTTTTCTTTTTAAGTGAGCTTCTCTGACAGACACTGGACGGCCTGAAGCTCTTCTGGCTAAGAAACATCAACCTCCACTTCCTGACAGCCGCATCTCAGATTATTATTATTACAGTAGGATGAATTAAAGCAACACGGATTACTTTTTATAATCAACAGATAGTTGGTTATAGTTCTAGACCCATTTCAGAGGGACCAGGTCCAGACCATCGCTTCCTTTCCACTGATTTCAAAGGCAGAAGCATGTAGGATACAGCTGGGACTCACCTTTATAAGCCAGCTGCTAAAATAACAATGGATTGTACTTATTTACTATAATTCCACACAAAACAGAAATAAATACTGTTTTAAAATGTATTTCATTGATGCATTTAGTTTTTCTGTAGATCTCCACACCATCTGCCCTTCTCAGGTCTTATTATAGTTCCAGAAACATTTTTTGTTTTTCTTATTTAACCTTCATTTAACCAGGGAAAAAAATCCCATGGAGATTAAAATACCTCTTTTTTAAGGGAGTCCTGGCCAAGGTTCAATTATCACAATCTGTTATAATAGCAATGATTTCTACTTGCAGTATTTAACTGTTTAAGCTAAATTCACTGTTATTTCCTGGTTTCTGCCAATCAGTGAGGAAACATAAAAATTAAGAACATTCACATTTTCACAGTTCTGTAGAAAAACAAGAGACAGTAATGATTTCCAATAATCTTAGCCAAGAATACCAGATCAATCATAATGTGATGCATTGTTTGGTGTTTCTGCCATCGTGTTGTTGAAAACGGTTTACAGTCACAGCAGCAACTCTAAACCATGTCTGACTTTTGTTGATAACAAACTGAACTGAGAATCCATAAAGGCTCTATTCACTTGGCTGCTCTGCAGCATTAATGTCCCTACTAATAGTTTTAATTTTTGAGATTGTTATTTGCTACACCACAGCGCTACATAACACCGTTTGTATCCAGTCTATCAGCTCCAACTAGAGGTCTGCTAAAAAAAAACTTATTATTAAAAGATATATACAATATCCTTTTTTCTGAAGGTCTAAAATGTAATGTCTACGTGCTTCTCAATAGAGTTAGAGTGGCTCAGGTTATCCTGAGCTATCTCTATAGTTATGCTGCTATAGGCATAGACTGCTGGAGGACATAGGGACCCCTTTTTCATCATTCTGCTTCATTCTATCTCTATTCTCCCACTCTGCAGAATCTGTTAGTTCAATCTCTAACGTTCTGCTCTCTCTGCTTTTTCTCATAGTAGCTTCATCTGGTCTGTTCCTGTTTGGCTGTGACTCCATCCTGGAGAGAAATATCACTGAATCTGGTCTGTGATTGGACGGTCAAAGACGCTGAAGTTAGTTATATTAAAAAAGACTTCCACCACCCATACTTCTGAAAATTAAAATTTCGCCCATGCTTGATGGTGTTCTCTGCCTCTCTGGCTTCCATCCCCATTCTCACTATTATAATTATATTATTATAATGAAGCTGTTTTGATGAATCTGGTTCTGTCAATCAACCAGTCAAATTTTATTTATAACAGGCTTTACAACAAACACAGATCAATCAGTGAGTTAAATTTTGTTCAGATGTTGTTGAAAGCAAACAACAGATTTTGGAAATGGAAACTAAATATAAAATAAAGAAATAAAAATTCTTCGGTGAAACAAATTACTCTAAGAGGGACTTTCTTCCTTTTTTCAGATTTTACTTCTTTGACAAAAGTTCTATATTCAAGTTTAATAATAGATGTAGAACAACAAGAAAAAGATTATGTTTATCAATTTGCAGAGTTAAATTGTGGAACAAACTGAATGAGAACCTAAAGCAATGCCCAAACATTTTAGAAAGCATTGTAGAAAGTTTTGTGTTTTTTGTTTTGTTTATTTGTATATATGTCTGAAAGTATATGTGTATAAATATTTATGTATGTATATGTGTATGTAGGTATGTATTTATATGGATAAATATAACAACATAATTATAAATATTGTAAATTGAAGAAATACAAGAATTAAAGTAGTAGGAGTACATAAGTTTTACTTCTTCCTACTCCTTTTCGCACAACTCAGGAAAGAAGGGTACATTGTTTGTTGTTTTTCTCTCCAATGTTTTTAAACATTGTTTTATTGTTTTTTTGTTTTTCTCTTGCATGTTCGAAATGAAGAAAAAAAAAGGTTTTTTTTTTCACAAATTAAAAGTTTTCAGATTAAGGTTTATTCATTGCATTGTCTTTAAATTGTAATTCCCAAATTAGATTCTCTTTATTTTAAATGTTCTTTAAATGCTCACTCATGATCCACGCAGTGACCAACAGTCGCCGCCAGCATCCAATAGACCAATAGAAATCCATCTTTGCTCCTCAATCCAGAGGAAAGTCCGCCCCCAGAAGTAAAGAGAGA